GTGGGTGAATGGGCATTGGGCTCCACACAGACATTCATGAAACCAGGTTGATATGGGTTCCACCATCTTGTATCTGCACCATGGGGAATGTGACCTCTTTGATGGCAGTAGTAAAGGAAGAGAGGGCTGAGGGATTGCAATCCAACTTTTAAATGTTTTAATCTCTGTTCCCAGTCCATTGGCCAATGAGAATTGTCGGGGAGTAAATGGAAATTCAATGCGCATATATTACATGACTCTGCCACAGACCTTGCCAATAAAATTTGCCCTTGTTTCCTACAGTATTATAAGAAGGCCTATCCAAGTACCTACCACCCAACTGACTTTCCAAGAATTATAAACAATAATGTAAGACTAGCTCATATACATCTTACAGAACCAACTGAGTGTACCTCCTCCCAACTTTGCATTCTGTGATGCCATGTGGTAGCTAGAAATCAGCCATGGTAGAAATATTTGCACCAGATAGCTTGGCAAATGGAACAAATCGGGCTTTCTTCCCATGTATCTTGTTATACCAGATCCAAAATATACCTACTATTCAAGTTACCTCTTTATCATGCATATTTGTTTATTATTATAGGTAGAGTTTTTTAAGCTAGCCATTTCTTTCCCTATTGCAAACAGACCAACCTATGAATTGAAGATGTTAGTATAAACTGATTAACATTTTATTAATAAAAAGATGGTGGTCTGAAGTTTCCTTTATATACCAGAATGTACATATTTTAATACACAAATACTAGGTTAATATCACATTAGCACAGTATTGAAAATGTTGCTATAAAAGAAGTACCTATTTTCAGTTAACATCAACAAGGTTTTCATCCCTCCAGTCATTATTGCATCTAATAACACTGCCATAACTACTGATTCATTCTGGAAGCTTCAATATCTTTTAGGCTTTAGAGCTTATAAGACTACACTTCTTTATTTTAAGCCTTGCTGAAAGACTTAATTCAGTGTCCTGTTCTAGTTCACCAACTCTTTATTTCCAAAGCTTCAACCTCCACATACAAACAATCAGGAGAAAGGCCATCAATAAGGTTTCAGCCTCTATTATGGGATATGAAGCAATAACATTTTAAATAGGACCTAGGAGGCCTGGAGGAGTTAATACATCTTTCAGCAGTGCCTACTTTAAAATTCTGGAGTAGTTTGAAGCCTGAAAATCTGGATTATTTATTAGGAGATTGAGAAGGATCCAGTTGGAGGGAAACCTCATTTACCAAACAAGAAAGGATAAGGTTTGGTAAGGTTTGGATAAGGTTTGAATCTGTGTCCCTGTCCAAATTTCATGTCAAACTGGTAATCCCCAATGCTGGAGGTGGGGTCTGGTTGGAGGTGATTGGATTATGGGAACGGTTTCTCATGAATGGCTTAGCACCATCCCCTTGGTGCTGTTCTTGTGATAGTGAGTTCTCATGAGATCTAGTTGTTTAAAAGTATGTAGCAACCCACACACACACCCCCACCAGCTCTTGCTTCTGCTCCAGCCATGTAAGGTGTGTCTGCTTTCCCTCTGCACCTTCTGCCATGATTTCAAGTTTCCTGAGGGCTCCCCAGAAGCAGAAACCACCGTGCTTCCTATACAGCCTGTGAAACCATAAGCCAATTAAACCCTCTTTCCTTTATAAATTACCCAGTCTCCAGTATTTCTTTACAGCAATTCGAGAACAAACTAATACATGCTTACAAGTAACATCTGAAAACAAGATGACTAGAAACCTTTCATTACAAATAACAAGGGATTTGAACTTGATTCATGCCAAATTATGTAGTAAAATAAAACATAAGACAATTACAGAACGAAAGATTAGTCATCTTTAAAATGCTGCTTCATGGATAGAACTCAGTGAGACTACCTACCGATGAGCTTGATGTTCATCAGTTCAGAGCAGGAGGAAAAAGAAAGAATTATTACACACACCAACCCACTTGCTATCACAACACTGATAATTTTCTAGGAATTCTGATGCTTTTTTATTTTTGGGGATTAATCCACATTTTTTTAATTTTTATTTTTTGAGGCTGGGTCTCACTGTGTCACCCAAGCTGGAGTGCAGTGGTACAATCATAGCCCCCTGCCGCCTCGGTTTCCTGGGCTCAAGTGATCCTTTCACCTCAGCCTCCCAAGTAGCTGGAACTTCAGGCATGCATCACCACACTCAGCTAACGAATCCACATGTTAACATTCTTTTGTTTACAAGAATGATTGATTGTATTTTCCAAAGATGGCCACCTAATATACATTCTGGCCACATGCTTGTTTTAAAATGTAATGCTGGCTGGGCGCTGTGGCTCACACTTGTAATCCCTGCACTTTGGGAGGCCGAGGAGGGTGGATCACCTGAGGTCAAGAATTCAAGACCAACCTGGCCAACATGACGAAACCCCATCTCTACTAAAAATACAAAAAATTAGCTGGGGGTGGTGGTGGGCCCCTGTAATCCCAGCTACTTTCGAGGCCTGAAGCAGGAGAATCACTTGAACCTGGGAGGCAGAGGTTGCAGTGAGCCAAGATTGCACCATTGCACTCCAGCCTGGCCAACAAGAGCAAAACTCTGTCTCAAAAAAAAAAAAAAAAAAAGTGATGCTGACATTCCTTCACTAAGAGATGGGGTCCACAACCAAGGTGGATCTTTGTAACTGCTTCCACAAATAGAACGAAATCAAATGATATTGCATGGCTTCTGAGGCTGGGTACTAAAAAGTAATGTGGCTTCCACCTGGCCCTCTCTTCCTGAGACCTGTGCCTTTGGAGCCCTTAGCCTCCATAGGAAAGTCCATCTATCTGAAACCACCATGATGAAGAAACCACAGAGAAACAGAGAGATTCCTATGTAGCCCCAACTCTTCCAGCCCCAACTGCTTGAGTCTTTGCAACCCAGGAACCAGGTATGTGTGAGCGAGAGTTCATACAGTATCAGCCCCCAGTCTTCAAGCTGTCAGCTGAAACCAAATTGGAGTGGACACAGCTGTCCATGCTAAGCCTTGCTCAGACTACAGATCTGTGATAAACGTAAGTGTTGTTCTTGTTTTAAGCCACTGAATTTTGCAACCATGGTTGCTGAAATGGCAAGAAACAGATGCCGTTCAAGCTAGCAACAGCAAAATGTCGAAGAAGGTTATAGTATGAAAGTCCAGAACCATCTGAGGACCCCAAAAAGAAGAGGCACAGCTGGGTCTCATGATGGGTTGACCAGAACCTAAACCAGACCAGCAGAAGCCAAGTCAGCTTCTTTGCTCCGGTATCCTCCTCTCTGTGTCTCCACGGTCTTCTCTGGTCTCTTACTTTGCAGTCCTCCTGTCTGCGTCCCGGCACGTCTTCCTCCTTCCTTCTCTCTGCAGCCTCGTGTTGTGTGTTTCTTCTTGCCTGTGATGCAATGCTAAAGCTCTTCATTTGGGATGCCCCTAGTTTAAGAGACCAGCCTAAACTAACTAGCATCCTTTCTTTCCAGTGAAAAATTCCTGGGAGAGAGGATCTAATTGGCCAGCCTGAGTCAGATGTCTCTTTCTGATCCAATCAGATGACACTGGGGGCAGGGCCACATTGTACCAACATGGCTGCCACTCCCACTGCCCAGCTCCCCGTGAAAATTCTTAGAAGGGGGCTCAGAGGCTCCCAAACATAGCAATATATCCAACGCTTGACTATTAGAAGGCATTTTGGTTAGTCTTAACCAGGTGTAAAAACTTATCACAGACTCCCCTGTAAAGTGCTTTTTGCTTTGCTTACAAATATGCTTAGATAAGTGTAATACCAAGCCCCTTCTCATTCCCAGCCCTTTATCACAGGTATTTGAAAGGGCACTTCTGGATCTCCACAAGAAGGCAGTGGTTCTGAATATGTAACCTCAAGGAACCGAACTCAATGATTCATTTCTCTTATATTTGTTTGAGGTTTATCTTCTAATGTGAAGTTGGCACCTTACTTTCTGGTCAGCATGGTCAACTCCAGATCACAGAGGCACTCAGGGAAACTGAGGCTGCTGTTGCTTCCTCTTCCTCCTTTTCTTTTTCTGAGGCTGCTGCTGTCTTCTCCTCCCCACCCTTTCCCTCCTCCCCTCCCCTTCTTCTTCTTTTCTTTTAGAGTCAGAGTCTCAGTCACATGATCTCAGCTCACTGCAACCTCCTCCTGCTGGGTTTAAGCAATTCTTCTGTCTCAGCCTCCCGAGTAGCTGGGATTACAGGCGCCCACTACTTTGCCTGGCTAATTTTTGTATTTTTAGTAGTGTTGGGGTTTCATCATGTTGGCCAGGCTGGTCTCAAACTCCTGATCTTAAGTGATCCACCAGCCTCCCAAAGTGCTGGGATTACAGGCATGAGCCAACACGCCCAGCCGAAGCTGAGGCTTCTTGATGAACTTTGACAGTTTTCTCACATTAAAAATTTCCTGGCTGGGCACAGTGGCTCATGCCTGTAATCCAAGGACTTTGGGAGGCCAAGAGTTCAAGATCAGCCTGGGAAACATAGCAAGTCTCTGAAAATAAGACAAAGAATTTAAGCTGGGCATGGTGGCTCACACCTGTAATCCCAGGACTTTGGGAGGCCGAGGCGGGCAGATCACAAGGTCAAGAGATCAAGACCATTGGGAAGCTGAGGCAGGAGAATCACTTGAACCTGGGAGGCAGAGGTTGCAGTGAGCAGGGATCATGCCACTGTACTTCAGCCTGGCAACAGAGTGAGACTCTGTCTCAAAAAAAAAAAAAAAAAGAAAGAAATTAAAAATTTCCCACTGCTAAGTAATCTATGGTGTCAGAGGTTAGGGTAGAGGTTGCATCCAGAAAAGGGAGAGACTGGACAGGGCCTCTGGGGTACTGGGAATGTTTTGTTTCTTCTTCTGGGAGGTGGATGCATAAGTGTATTCCAGTTTGTGAAAACTTGTGAAACTATCACATATGTACATTTTTCTGTAGGTATATTATCCTTCAATAAATGTTTAAATATACTGCAGTAATTATAAGAGATTGCTCATTTGTCACTATAGCATGTGGCTGATTAGTTCATAGAAATAAATATAGATATAAATATATGGTATACATACATCTGATTTAACAGTACAAACAACATCTTCTATAAATACATACATGTTTATTAGAGTACAAACTCCATCGTAACATTTCTGTGGAATGCTATATAGATATACTACCTCTCATAGAAAACTCGAGCCCTTAATACTCCATTTGAAAGACAGTGGAATAGTGAATGGCTCTAGAGTCAGCCTGTTGGGGCTCCAATTCTACTGCATGCTAGTTTTTCATTTTATTTGTTTTTGAGACAGCGTCTCGTTCTGTCACCCAGGCTAGAGTCCAGTGGTGTGATCACGGCAGCCTTGACCTCCCAGGCTTAGGCGATTCTCCCACCTCTGCCTCCCTAGTAGCTAGGCCTACAAGTGTGACCACTACACCTGGCTAATTTTGTAAATTTTATTTCTGTAGAGACAGGGTTTCACTATGTTGCCCAGGCTGGTCTCAAACTCCTAGGTTCAAGCAATCCTCCCGCCTTGGCCTCCCAAAATGCTGGAAGACAGACATGAGCCACCGTGCTCAGCCTGCTTGCTAGTTTTATGACCTTGGGAAAATGATTTAACTTTAGCTTTCTGATCTAAAATGTAAATATTAAAAATACCTACTTTATGGGAATGTCGTATGAATTTTTTAAATACATATAAAATGCTTGAAACCATAGTAAACACTTCCTAGATGTTATTATTTTTGTCGTTGTTAGACTACCTGAAAATGAAAGAAGAGAGCATCCCTTTTTCTACCTCTTATTATCTCATCCACTCTAGCTCAACAGAACTCACTTCAATTCAGCTATACTGACTGGGCACCTCTATGGGCCAGGCATCATGCTCAAGTCTGAGCAGAGTGGATGCTTAAAGCATATTTCTGGGCCGGGCACAGTGGCTCATCCCTGTAATCCCAGCACTTTGGGAGGCCAAGGTGGGCAGATAACCTGAGGTCAGGAGTTCGAGACCAGCCTGACCAACATAGAGAAAACTCTTCTCTATTAAAAATACAAAATTAGCCGGGTGTGTTGGTGGGCACCCTCAATCCCAGCTACTCAGGAGGCTGAGGCAGGAGAATTCCTTGAACCCAGGAGGTGGAAGTTGTGGTGAGCTGAGACCGTGCCATTGCACTACAGCCTGGGCAATAAGAGCAAAACTTCGTCTCAAAAAAAAAAAAAGAAAGAAAGAAAAAAAAAACTCTGTGTATTTCTGGCTATACAGAGTTCCTTACTGCAGAGACCTAAACCCCTGGGAAGATTCTACGCTGGTAGCATTTCCCAAGGGTTCTGTGGCTCATTTCTCCCCAAGTTCACTTCTGGTGCTATTAGAAGTTCTAGAGATTCCAGTCTTGAGCCAGTGTGTGAACACAGGCAAATTCTCTCTGGTGGGGCTCTCATCAGAGGAACCTGGCAAGGTAAAAACAGGAAGCAGGATGAAGGCTGTGTTTATTTCTTGCTGTGGGTATTGTGTTGTGTTTCACTGGGGTGCCAGTCTATTTGACCTAAACAGAAACAACCTGTGTAGTCTTGTGCGACACCGGTATTGTTTTAAATCAACATTACGAGGTGGGACAAAAGAAAATGGCTATTAATTAGAATGTAAGCCTGAAGTAGCACTCTCTACACAATGAGGCACCTATGGAGCTGCCCAAGCTGTACAGCTGTTTTTCAGGTCATTTGTAACCAAGGTCATCTGCTGTGGACAGTATTAGAAACGATAGTCACTTTTTTCAGAATTCACTGTCGCTATTGTCTTTAATAACTCCTATTTTTTTATTTTGAGATGGAGTCCTGTTCTGTTGCCCAGGCTGGAGTGCAATGGCACAATCTCAGCTCACTGCAACCTCCACCTCCTAGGTTCATGTGATTCTCCTGCCTCAGCATCCTGAGTAGCTGGGATTACAGCTACTAGGTGTGCCACCATGCCCGGCTAATTCGGATATTTTTAGTAGAGACAAGGTTGTACCATGTTGGCCAGGCTGGTCTCGAACTCCTGACCTCATGACCTCAGCCTCCCAAAGTGTTTGGATTACAGGCGTGAGCCACCATGCCCAGTCACTAACTCCTGTTTTTACTGTTCACATCTAGTACTGCACCAATGGATAAGCTGAGAACCTCTCAAAATGGAACTTGTGAAAAATGTAAGGAAATATTACTGCTAAATAGGCAAGGCTAACGTTCTCACAATTGTGGAAAACAAAACTGAAAACAAAACACAACACTAAAGTCCTAAAGCAGTGTTTTTCCATTCATTTTCTCCCTCCTTCCTCCCTTCCTGAATAAGCAGCTAACAGAGAACAGCCTGATATGCATTCCTCTTCCCTTCCAGATAGAGAATTGAGTGCTCTGGACAGCACAGTGGCTCATGCCTGTAATCCCAGCACTTTAGGAGGCCAAGGCAGGTGGATCACTTGAGGTCAGGAATTCGAGACCAACCTGGCCTACATGGTAAAAACTTGTCTCTACTAATAAATAAATAGCCGGATATTGTGTCACATACCTTTAATCTAAGCTATTCAGGAGGCTGAGGCAGGAGAATTGCTCAAACCCAGTACGCAGAGGTTGCAGTGAGCCAAGAACATGCCACTGCACACCAGCCAGGGTGAATAAGCAAAACTTTGCCTCCAAAAAAAGACGTGTCTCTGATAATAACTTAGATGTTTCTGATGATAGCTTCTGGGTTTGGCAGTAACTGAACTGGAATGGAGTTCAAAAACCCTTAGATAGAATGACAGAGGAATTAAGAGGCCAGGTTATTGGCAAGTCTATCCACGTGGATGTTTGGGTCCTCCATTGATTCTCTACCTCCACAAGTTTTTTACCCTGGGCTTCATCCCAATTTTGTCCTTCTTAAGGCCTTCATGGAACCTGAACTATTTCTGCAATCCTAAGTTTCAGACCCTGCCGGTCAGTGGCATAAGCATGAACAGGAAAACAGAAGGATGGTTGTGTGAGGGAGCTGTAGTGGACATCTGCTGTTTTGTTTTGTTTTGACACCAAGCATTCACAAATTTTTCTGGAAAACCTACCTCAAGTGCCCTCTAGAAAACAAACCTCATGGTCAGGCATGGTGGCTCACACCTGTAATCCCAGCACTTTGGGAGGCCAAGGCAGGTGGATCACCTGAAGTCAACAGTTCAAGACCAGTCTGGTCAACGTGGTGAAAACCTGTCTTTACTAAATATACAAAAATTAGCCGGATGTGCTGGCAGGCACCTGTAATCTCAGCTACTTGGGAGATTGAGTCAGGAAAATCACTTGAACCCAGAAGGCTGGGGTTGTTAGCTGAGATCGTGCCATTGCACCCCAGTGTATGCAACAAGAGCAAAACTTCGTCTCAAGAAAAAAAAAAAGAAAACTCACCTCATTTGTTAGTTCCAGTCTATATAAGTAGAGTTGCCTTCTCTTCAGACCCCTAATATTTTAAGGGTAGGTAATGTGCACACTCTTGGCCATAAGGAGCATTCTGTAATGCTCCATAGTGAGCCCCCAAATATCTGTAATGCTCATGCATAGTCCAGGACTCACCTCTGGATCATGAGCTGCGGCTGCTCTAGACAATATCGATTCTACTCCACTAAGTCCATGAAGATCATAGGTGACACCTCCATCCTGATAAGTGCACCATATACACTAAGGGAAGATCTTCTATGTTGCCATCAACATGGCTGGAGAGAAGGCATAAAGATCATCTTCTTTAAAGACAGGGAGGTCATGCTTGAAAACAGTCCTGCTTATACTATAATTGAAAAATAAAACCGTGTACACTTCTGGCAAAATGTACACATCTCTAATCTCTGCAGTGCCCTGGTAAACCTCAAGGGGGTGGTGCCTAGATCCAGATTGAGAAAGGGTCATGATATGGACATGAATGGGGCACAAACCTTTTTCCACCAGCAGGGTCATCCTTTCCTATCTTCACCTTTTTCTTACTTTCTCATTCATTCTAAGGTAACTTCTTCTTACTTTCTCATTCATTCTAAGGTACTTTTTTCTTTATTCTCAGCTTAGTTTTACCCTATGAGGTAGGTGGTTGCCTGGTCAACATGGCTGCCACAGACAGATAAAGGATCGTTCTGCTCTGCAAAAATGTCACCAATCAGCCGGGCACAGTGGCTCACAACTGTAATCCCAGCACTTTTGGAGGCCGAGGCAAGAGTATCATTTGAGATCAGCAGTTGAAGAGCAGCCTGGGCAACATGGTGAAACTCTGTCTCTACTAAATATACAAAAATAAGCCAGGCATGGAATTACAGGGGCGTACCTGTAATTCCAGCTACTCAGGAGGCTGAGGCAAGAGAATCACTTGAGCCTGGAAGACGGAAGTTGCAGTGAGCTGAGATCACACCACTGCACTACAGTTTGGGCGACAGAGTGAGACCCTGTCTCAAAAAACAAAAAGTCATCAATGCAGGCAGCCTGGAGAAATACCCACGGAGGGGACTACTTCCCCACAGTGACTTTTTAGTAGAAGAGCCTCAACACTGAGGTCAAAACATGCTTCTCTAAATTATAAGCATGCTCTGTTTCTCAGATTCTTAAGCAGTACCCATGGTGTTCCTGACAATGGGTTACCGCAACCAGCAATACCCTCAACACTCCACCAACTTACATGACCCTCTGGTAACTGAACACTTTTTGAAAATAGTGACTAAACTATTATTTCTGAAAAATATACCTGTCCTTAACCCTCTCTTCACAAACGGAAGGCCTGTCTTCCTCACTGCTCTAAATATGAAGCAGTGAATGGAGAGGAACGTGCAGGCTGCCATATCATATCAGTAAGTCTCAAGCAAAGAGGCAGAAAAAAGCCCATCTCCTCAGACTCCATCAGGGAGAGAAGGGGCTTTCTGAGACACATGATACCCATTCCTCCACAAGAGCTCCAGGGAATTGGTCACCTTTTAGAAGTCAAAGGAAGCAGTCGGTAAGAGCTGAACTAACTCCTACCTTTCACTAAACACAAGCTTGGGTTACTCAAAATCTATACCCCACAACACAGTACATGGAAAAGACATAATTCTTATTAGAAAATTTATTGGGGAGAACCAATATTTGACTAGAGTCAAATGAAAAGATGGTGTTCAGAGACAAACTGGCCTCAGGGTCGAGATTGGGCTTTGCTCTCTGAATGTGATGTGGTAGGAGAAGGGGAAAGGGAAGCTGTTGGGTTGGGGAATGGTCTATAGGGAACTTGGAATTCAGGGGAGGAACAGGCTTTGGTGGCAGAGGGTCCCTCAGTGGTGAGGGTGAAAATAAGTCAGCTAAAGGGGTGATCAGGTCAGGTGAGAGAATTAAGAGGGGTGGTGGAGAAGGGTCAGGACAAGGGGACACTATTAGTCTTCTGGAGGGGTGGCTGAATCTTTCTGGGACTCCCAACACAACACTCGCTGGATCTCAGCAGCTGTTCTGTTACACACCTCACAGAGGGGATCTGGGCATAACAGTTGATGAAAGCAGGCAGTATCACGGGGACTGCAGAAAGCAGGAGGCCCGATGCTGCAGCCAGGACTAGAACAAGGAAAGGAGGGTCTGTTAGCCTGGCAGGGGTGGGAACCCTGGTGCCTGCTACCCGCTTCACATCGCCCCTGCCTATGACCTCACCATGCACTCTAGGGCCTCTCAACACATTCATTCACATACACGTTCCTATGGCTACCCACTCCCACAACTACAGCAGGCTACAAGAAATCCCTGAGGTGAATAGAACTTGCTAAAAAAAGGACTGGGGTGGGAACAGGACAGAAAGAAACAATTAATCACCTTTTCAGAAAAGAAACCAGCTTCCTTTCCTCTTCTGCTGCTTTCTGGAAGGTTATCTGGTCTGGGAAACCATAACAGTATGTTATATGTATGAAAGTAGAGGCACAGGGATCATACAGAAGTCACTCTCTGGAAGATCTTTGGGATATTCAACTCCAATAGCCCCAAGTATCAGTAGAAAAGGGCAAATAGTCATTGATACTATTAACAAGTTCACATGTGTATGTGGCATCATTTATAAAATTCCTTCACATACATTACCCCATGTGATGCTCAAATCCACCATGGGAAACACAGATGTCAGTAATTACCTCCAGGAGAAATCTGAGCATCAAGGAAGTCAAAGTACTTATGCAAAGTTGTGAGACAGAAGCTCTGGTTCCAAGCCAGCCAGTAGTCATTCCTTGATATATAACTTGCCCACAAATTGGGCAACACCCAGTGCCCAGGTCTATCACTCTATCATGCCTATGGATGGGCAGAGCAGGGCCTATGAGCAGTGTCTCAGGTCTGATTGCCTTTCTGTAAGCCTCTCTGCTGAGTGTCCTGTTTTCTGAGACTGTATCTAGTAACTGACATTCTAAGAAATCATGGGCCTGAGTTCTCCTTACAGAAACAGGAAGGGTCATCGTTGAAGCTCAGATAGAGCAGGCTGACCTTACCTTTAGATGTCCCACGTTTCTTTCTCCTCCTGCGTCTGCCCTGAGGCTGAGAACAAAAGAAAGACAATGAGAGGCTGGGACTCATTTATCTCACTCTCTATGAAGCTCATTCATTTATTCATTCATTCACTCATTACACAAGCATAATGTGACTCCCTAATTAATGCTAATATGTTCCTGTTATCAATTATTAAAGTGATCAAATATTTCTAAGTTTTCCTTCCCTGAAAAACTCAGAGGATTTTGTCTGGGAGAGTCACACTTGATGTGCTTCATTAGCAGTCCTCAAGGAGGGCACAGACTCAGAGGGCAACAGTCACATCTGTGCTCCCTCATAGGAAGAGTGTCCCAGAGACAGAGCTCTGGCTCCAGCCTCTGCTCAGAAACTCTCAGCATTGCTCCCCTGGTCAACCCAATATGAAGGAAGGCTTGACTGAATGAAGATGACATGGGAATGTGACTCATGATCAAATTTCAGCAGAAATTGTTCTTCTTCAGAGAGACCACACTCTCTATGTAGTCCAATCAGGGACCACAGAATTACTGTGTTTGGAATTTTATCTGGAACTCTCCATCACAGTCAGATAGGTAGTCTGAGCTTCAGATGGAAACTTTAGTCTTTCTGAAGCCCTAAGTCTACCCAACCTCTTCCAAAGATGAAATTCTATCCTCTCTTCAGACTTCCCGTCTAAGACCATCTCTCTGTACCAAACAAACTTACTTAGAAATGTGGGAATAGGATTGGGAAACCACAGGGAATCTCCCTTGGGTGTTCACCCATGGTTCCTTACCATTGGGATGCCATTATTTTTCCCAGCGGGTGACAAATAGAGAGTCAATAGCACGTAGAACAAGTACAGCATAAACAACCCCAGCCCAGTAAAGCAGATGAAGTCGGGGTCAATATCCAAGCAATGTGCCAAGCCAGAGCTGAGCCCTGACTCAGTACAGCTGTTCAGAAAAAAGAGGATATTCCCCATGAGGTGAATATCATGGCTGCCTGAAGCAACTGAGCCCTGAGTTTGCCCAGTCTTAACTATAAGCCCAGGCCTGCATCATAGAGCATGGAAGTCACAAAGGGTTTCTAAGGGTGGAGGGAGCAATAAGAGGAGGGTGTGTCCACAGCCTTGACCTCACCAGCCTAGCGGACCCCACCCCTCCTGTGCCCTCAGGTCCCTCTGCCCTACCCTCCCACCCCATTTCCCAACTCTATCCTTTCTTCATGTCATATCTTTATTTTAGTGGAATTTTCTGTTTGCTCCAACTGTAAACCAGGTATTACCCAAGTCCTGCTTTACTGTTTGGAGCCCGTAACTTCAACCCCACCAACACCACAGCCTTGAAAGCCTGAAATACTGCCTGTACCCAGGCACTGGCACTCTCAGGATCCCAACATCCTCCAATCCCTCTTATCTACAGAATGTTTTTGTCTTACATTAGCCCAGATGTGAAACTTAACGTGCCTTTATACTTACTTCGTTTTGTGAATGTCAACAGTAAATTTTTTACTTTAAAGTCAGCCTTAACTATTTCCAATCAGAGAGACTGACTCAAATGATTAAAACTAATATTATCAAAGAAAAGGAGCTCACTGTCCAATTTGGGTTTTTGAGAAAAGGAGGTTTTTATGGTAAATTAACCACGAGACAGGAGTCCAGCTCAAATCTGTCCCGTGTGCTGGCTTTCATGCAGTCATTTTGTTAGAAAAGGTTTAGGGAGTGGATCACCTGTGGTCAGGAGTTCAAGACCAGACTGACCAACATGGAGAAACATTGTCTCTACTAAAAATACAAAATTAGCCGAGCATGGTAGCACATGCCTGTAATCCCAGCTACTTGGGAGGCTGAGGCAGAAGAATCGTTTGAACCTGGAAGGTGGAGGTTGTGGTGAGCCCAGATTGTGCCATTGCACTCCAGCCTGGGCAACAAGAGTGAAACTCCATCTCAAAAAAAAAAAAAGAAAGAACTGGGTATTCTGCAGCTGGGCTTCTGTCCTGTCCATACACGACAGGGACACAGCTGGTAAAAGAGGAAGAAGAGCAGGGGTACAGGAGACAGGAACTTGGCAGTGAGCAGGGCAGGGCCATCTCCCCCCAGGTTAGGGAGCCCCATGCCATGTACCCCTGGTGTGTGAGAGGTAAGGATCCTTCCCCACTTGATTGTTTCCAGGCAGAATCCAGCATGATTAACAGCATAGGCTGGCAGCCAAAGTGCTTGCCTTTGAGTCCTGGCTCAGACATTTACTTTGGGTAAGTAATTTAGCCTCTCTGTGCCTCAGCTTTGCCATCTATAAAATGGGTATAACAATAGTACCTGCGTTCTATAGTTGTGATGAAATTAATGGAATTAGTATGTGGAAAACAGTTAAAACAAGGCTTAGGACATATAAACCACCCAATAAGTGTTAGCTATTATTATTATTGCCTTGAAATAGCTCCAAAACATAATTATAATGACCATCATTATATTATTTTGTTCTGACTTGGGCTGACTTAACAATGATGACTAAAGTGAAGTCCAGGATTCTATTTTACTAGAAATCCTACCTCTAGGAATACCTTCTAAGGGAATTTTCAGATATGCAAAAACAAGGTACAAAGGGAATCACTGCAGTATTATTTATGGAGTGAAAAACTGGCCCCGGCCTAAGTGTGGAACAAGCTGAGAATGATTAAATATGTTATGGTGCAGAAACAGGCTTTTGAAGAATTTTTAATGACTAGGAAATGCTCATGAAATAAATGTAAGTAGAAAAGCAGGCTTCAAAACTGTTTACAATTGGATCACATTTGGTAACTATGTAAGCACATTTGCAGAGAAAACAAAACCCCAGAGAAATGTATCAAGATGTTCATTCACAGTGGGGTTTCTGAGGGTGGAACTTGAGCACGTTTTTGTTTATATTTTCTTTGTATTTTTTGATGCCTTCCTGTTTTACACAGGAACACACACAATTTTTATATTTGGGAAAAACATTAAGTCATAAAACCGAAACATTTAAAGACAGAATTCAGAAGATACACAGTGGACTAAGGTGAACTAGAAGTGAACCCATGTTTCCTAAACTCTAGGTTTTTGTTTTTTTAAAGTCCAGAATGCCACATGATAGAGACAGGTGTTGCTACTTTTCAACTTACTTTGCTCTGGGAAGAAAAGCTATGCAAAATCTCTGGGTAACAAAATTATAGACAGGCCAGGTGCGGTGGCTCACGCCTGCAATCCCAGCACTTTGGGAGGCCGAGGCGAGCGGATTGCGAGATCAGGAGATTGAGACCATCCTGGTTAATGCAGTGAAATCCCGATGCTACTAAAAATATAAAAAAACTAGCCATGAGTGGTGGCATGTGCCTATAGTCCTAGCTACTCCGGAGGCTGAGGTAGGAGAATTGCTTGAACATGGGAGATGAAGGTTGCAGTGAGCCAAGATCACACCACTGCACTCCAGCCTGGGTAACAAAGCAAAACTCTGTCTCAAAAAAAAAAAAAAAAAAAAAAAAAAAATTATAGACAGAGCCCAGCGCAACGGCGTATTGCTTGAGCCCAGCCTCATACTCCTGGGCTCAAGGTATACGCCTGCCTTAGTCCTCAGGAGGCTAAGGTAGGCATATTGCTTGAGCCCAGGAGTTTGAGGCTGTAGAGTGATGTGACTGAGTGTGTGCATAGCCACAGCACTCTAGCCTGGGCAATACAGCAAGACCTCATCTCTAAAATTGAAAAAAAAAAAAAAAGATAAATGAAAAGATACAGGGCAGGGCACAGTGGCTCATGCATATAATCCTAGTACTTTGGAAGGCTGAGGCAGGCAGATAATCTGAAGTCAGGAGTTCAAGACCAGCCTGGCCAACATGGAGAAACCCTGCCTCTACTAAAAATACAAAATTAGCCAGTAGCCGGGCGTGGTGGTGCATACCTGTAATCCCAGCTACTTGGGAGGCTGAGGCAGGAGACTCTCCACCCAGAAGGTGGAGAGTGTGGCGAGCCAAGATCGTGCCATTGTACTCCAGCCTGGAGAACAAGAGTGAAACTCTGTCTCAAAAAAACAAAAAAAAAAAGGAAAATCAAAGATGCATAGATATGGATGAGGACAGCTGGGGAGACTAGCAGGGACTTCTTAAGATATGGGATACAATTTGGTATTGAATAATCACAACCATTTGTTTTTACACGGGGGAGAAACATCCTTGGCCCACAACAGAATAGATGAAAGCCACCCATCCACTCTTTTGGAAGAAGTTTGTTTCATTGGTTGGTTAGTTGGTTGGTATTTTTTTGAGACAGAGCCTTGCTCCGTTGCCGGGCTGGAGTGCAGTGGCCAGATCTCAGCTTACTGTAACCTTCACCTCCCACATTCAAGTGATTGTCCTGCCTCAGCCTCCTGAGTAGTTGGGACTACAGGCACGTACCAACACGCCCAGCTAAGTTTTGTATTTCTAGTAGAGATGGGATTTCATGACATTGGCCAGGATGGTCTTGATCTCTTGACCTCGTGCTCTGTCGACCTTGGCTTCCCAGAGTGCTGGGATTACAGGCGTGAGCCACCTCGACTGGCCTTTTGGAAGAAGATTTTTTAAAATTCCATGGTTTAAAAAAAGAAAAAGAAAAAGAAAAGATAAACTAACAGAAACAACAGGACAAGAGATATACCTAAATAGACAAGTAACAGAATTCCCAAATTCCCATGCCTGTGCATGAAGGACCTTGCTAATAAACTTCCCATTTGGAGTCCTACACCTCAAGGAAAATTAGTAAGAAGACCTCAACTTTGAAAGGGCTTGTAGTGCTGCTCATTTTGGCAGCATGTATACGAAAATTGGAACAATACGAGGAGATTAGCATGCCCCCTGCTTAGGATGACATGCAAATCTGTGAAGCATTCGATATTTTTTTTTGAGAAATTAAAAAAAATTAAAAAATGAAATAGCTTGGAAAACATCAGAGAAAGCCATCAGACGACGATACAGGCCACTGGATTCCACTCAGCTCAGCCTGGGATCCTGCCCCTGCAGCTCTGTGCCTGGGCCTGCGGCTCAGCAGGAGAGGAATCTTGCAGGACTCACACCTTGGCCTGAGAGGCCAGAGCAATAAAATTAGGATTATTTATGATGCAGAAGTGATTTAATAACATTTTTCGAGAACCTGAAGGATTTATGCCGAGGAACTGCTATTCTAGTAACTAAACCCTTTTGGATGGACTCTAAGATAAACCAGGCTTGTCTGGCTTCTGCCGTGAGCCTCTCCAACTCTTCCAGTTGCTCTTGGCAAATAATCTCTTCCACTTTACTAGAGGGTGATGGTCAAGGAGATGACCTTCCTGGCTGCTTTATCTACTCTCCTCCCCCCCTCAAAATACCTCTCAACATCTCTCTTTGTTCCTTCAAATCACAAAGGCAAACTCAAAGGAGGAGGAAACTAACATTTATTGACTGGCTGCTATGTGCCAGGAGCTTGCAGAAACATTACCTCATTTAATTCCCGAAAACACCCTGTGAGGTAGGCATAATTATCCCTGTGTTGCTTGTTAGGGGATGGAGGAAACAGCTGGTATGAGGATTTCTCTTGGGTGCCAGGCGTGGTGGTTTATGCATATTATCCCAGCACTTTGAGAGGCCAAGGTGGGTGGATGACTTGAGGTCAAGAGTTTGAGACCAGCCTGGCCAACATGGTGAAACCCTGTCTCTACTAAAAAATACAAAAAATTAGCTGGCTGTGGTGGTGCACACCTGTAATCCCAGCTTCTTAGGAGGCTGAGGCATGAAAATAACTTGAGCCCAGGAGGCGGAAATTGCAGTCTGCATTCCGGCCTGGGTGACAGAGCAAGACTCTGTCTCAAAAAAAGAAAAAAAAAATTTCCCTTGGGGAGAGAACCATCTTTTTGGGACAATGTCTTGGTTAGCCTCTTTGGACAATGTCAGGGGAGGAGAGAGAGATGAGGAAATGTGTGTGGAATGGGCATGGTGAGGGGACGATGGGATCCTCACTCAGAAAGAAGAGGGGAAGAGCAGAGGCAAGGAGAGAGCAGGTGATTTAGAGAAAGGCTTTGTGTGGCACAATATATCCCTACCTTAAAAAGCACAACTCTTTCTTGTTTTTATTTTTGCTTGTTTGTTTCTTGAGACGGAGTCTCACTCTGTCACCCAGGCTGGAATGCAGTGGTGCGATCTCGGCTCACTACAACCTCCGCCTTCTGGGTTCAGTGATTCCCCTGCCTCAGCCTCCCGAGTAACGGGGATTACAGGTGCCTGCCACCACACCCAGCTAATTCAAAAGCATAACTCTTAAAATTTCAAGTAAATCTACTAAACTCATGAAATACTTGCTGAAAGAGAATTTTCAAGTGGGCTGTCTGGCATAGGGTGAAACAGAAGCCATGTGTGTTTCAGCTGAGATGGTGACAGGCAGTACTATAAAGGAAGCACATCTCCTAAATTCAAGAGCAAGAAGGTCCCCCACCCCCACCCCTTGACATATGAGTTCCCTAGAGGGGAAAACTGAAGCTTGCCAGTTAATCAACTTTACTGAAGTCACACAGCATCACTAACAAAGGGAACTGATCCCAAGGCTGTTTATCTTGAATGTCTATTGTTTTCGCTCTATTCCACATGCTGCACTAAGCAAGATAGCTTTTTCCTCTCCCAGGCCAAATCTTCCACTGCTGTGCTCCAACTAATCATAGTAATTAATAGTAGTGAATATTTATTGAGTGCCTACAATATACCAGACATTGTTGAATGCATTAGCTCATTTGATCCTCACGACACTATATATTTGACAATATAATTATTCACATTTTATTATATGGAAACTGCTGCCCAGAGAGGTTAAGACACTTGCTCAAGGTCCCACTGCTATAAGTGGTGAAACCAACATTTGAATCAGAGCCCATGGTCTTTTTTTCTTTTTTGAGATGGAGTCTCGCTCTGTTGCCAGGCTGGAGTGCAGTGGAGTGATCTCGGCTCACTGCAACCTCCGCCTCCCAGATTCAAGCAATTCTCCTGCCTTAGCTTCCCTCCTGAGTAGCTGGGACTACAGGCACAAGCCACCACACCCAGCTAATTTTTTTTTTTTTTAATTTGTGACAGAGTCTTGCTCTGTCACCAGGCTGGAGTGCAGTTGCGCAATCTCTGCTCACTGCAACCTCCACCTCCTGGGTTCAAGCGATTCTTCTACCTCAGCCTCCTGAGTAGCTGGGACCACAGGCGCATGCCACCAGGCCCGCCTAATTTTTTTTTTTTTTGAGACAGAGTTTCACTCTTGTTACCCAGGCTGGAGTGCAATGGCGCGTCTCGGCTCACCGCAACCTCCGCCTCCCAGGTTCAGGCAATTCTCCCGCGTCAGCCTCCTGAGTAGCTGGGATTACAGGCAAGCACCACCATGCCCAGTTAATTTTTTTGGTATTTTTAGGAGAGACAGTGTTTCACCATGTTGGCCAGGATGGTCTCTATCTCCTAACCTTGTGATCCACCCGCCTCAACGTCCCAAAGTGCTGAGATTACAGGCGTGAGCCACTGCTGCTGGCCTAGAGCACATGGTCTTAATGCCATTGCATTGTCTCATCTCATTCCTTCTCACCTGTTGGAAGAACAGTTCCTCAAATTAACCTATCTAATTAACCTGTTCTCTCCACCTCTAGGATAGGACGTGGTGGGGTTTGCAGAGGTTGCACAACACTGAGCACAGAAGATGTTCTGATGGGCTTGGATCAAAGCCACCGTCACACCTCAGACTAATAGTATAATTCGGGAGTTGGTAAATTTTTTCTGTAAAGGGCCAGACAGTAAGTATTTCCGGCTTTGCGGGCCATATGGTCTCTGTAGCCAGCTACTCAACTCTTCTGTTGTAACATGAAAGTAGCAGTAGTCATAAGCCAATGAGCAGGATTGTGTTCCAATAAGGCTTTACTGATGGACACTGATATTTGAATTTCCTATAATTTTTCTGTATCACAAAGTATTATTCTTCTTTTGCTTTTTTTCCCTCCAACCACGTAAAAAGGTAAAAACCATTCTTAGTGTGAAAGTCACATCAAAACTGAAGGCGGCTGGGCACAGTGGCTCACGCCTATAATCCCAGCACTTTGGGAGGCCAAGGCGGGTAGGTCATGAGGTCAGGAGATCGAGACCATCCTGGCCAACATGGTGAAACCCTATCTCTACTAAAAATACAAAAAATTAGCCGGGTGTGGTGGTGCATGCCTGTAATCCCAGCTACTCAGGAGGGAAGCTGAGGCAAGAGAATCGCTTGAACCCAGGAGGCAGAGGTTGCAGTGAGCCAAGATCAAGCCATACTCCACCTGGGCAACAGAACAAGATTCTGTCTTTGGGGAAAAAAACAACTGGAGGCAGGCCGGATTTGGCCTACAGGTCACAGTTTGCTGACCCTAGTTTTACCAAACCTTCCCTTTTGGGTTCTACATCCAGTTGGGCCAACTCCAGACTAAACAGCTTCTAGGCCAGGCTTTGCATCTGCTTTCCTTTACCTCGCTCCTCTCACCCACGAAACCACACAGGTCCATTCCACAAGCCTCTGCTCACCGCTGTCCCATCAGCAGCTCTCCGCCAGTCTTCCAGCATCTCCTGACCAACCACAGGTAGTTGTCTGCTGTCCCTGCAAGAAGTGGTCATAAAGTAAGATGGAACTGCCATCATTTAGATGACCCTGGTGAAGCAAGCCCGAAGGACAGGTTAAAGGGGCATCACTCGAAGACTATGACAAGGCTTGCAAATAATATGCTTCAAATAGACTGAACATCATAAAAGGAAAACTCTAGGAAGCGTGGAGAGTATATTGCTAAGTATCTGGATCCAAAGAAAGAGTCCTAGAGCCAGGAATGGAAATGCCTTTCTCCTCCAGGAGGCCAAGGCCAGAGGATAAGATATGGAAGACAGGAACACACCAGGGTCAGAGGACAGTTTAGGTCTAGAATCAGAGAGAAGACTAAAAAGCACTGATGGCCAGGTGCCATGGCTCACACCTGTAATCCCAGCACTTTGGGAGGCCAAGGCGGGTGAATCACCTGAGGTCAGGAGTTCAAGACCAGCCCGGCCAACATGGCGAAACCCCATCTCTACTAAAAATACAAAAATTAGCCAGGCATGGTGGCACACACCTGTAATCTCAGCTGTTTGGGAGGGAGACTAAGACAGGAGAATCGCTTGAACCCAGGACATGGAGGGTACAGTGAGCTGAGATCATGCCACTGCACTCCAGCCTGGGTGACAGATCAAGACTCTGCCTAAAAAGAAAAAAAAAAGCACTGACTAAGGAAAGGCTGAGAATAACAACAACAACAAAAACCCCGCTAACATTTATCTTTTTACTAAACACCTACTACATTCTAGGCATATGTTTCTGGATTTTTAAAAATAATATTGTCTCTTATTTAACTCTTTCAACACTCTGGCAAAATAGTCATTTAAAAAATCTTTTTGTATTCATTGTTTTTAAAATAAATATTTATTGTGCATCCTTTATGTGGCAGAGACTATGCTAGATACTAAGGATAAGCAAGTAAGCAAAAATAGACCTTGTGCCTGCTTTCATGGAGATTATACAGGGATTGGCCATTTTTTGTTCTGTAAAAAACAGATTGTAAATATTTTAGGCTTTGTGGGCCATCAGGCCTCTGCTGCAACTAGTCAATTGCAAAAGCAACCACATACACTATGTAAAAAAGTAGGTGGGGCCGCATGCCAATAAAACATTTTTTTTAATAAAAACAGGCTTCAGGCCAAAACTGGCTATGGTTTGCTGACCCCTGTTCTAGTAGGAGACAAACATTAAGCAAATAATTACACAAAAAGCAATCATTCAATGACATCAGGTAGAAGTTCCTGATACTAAAAAACCCTATCATCAGAGAGATTTAACCTATTCAGGGAGATCAGA